TGAATGCTACATTTTAGATGCAGTTAATTATACAGACTAGAAAGCAAACTTCTCTCTACTCGAGACTATACTGAGATTACAAATCTGGAAGGGAGGCAAAGTTTCAGCTTTCAGTTGGTGCTCAAAATTTGGAACAGAGTACCATGGAGCTAAGCTGAATCTAAAACGGAATGAGTTGAGAGTGGGAGAGATTGAGGCAGAAAAAAAAGGCAGCTTTTCATAAGTCTAACAAATAGAAGAATTTGATGGGACAAACTTCTGCTTGAAAAATTTTTACAAAAGCAGAATTTGAATGCTGTAGTTTGAAAGCTTCCATTGAAATCTGCTCTTATCTTTCTTTATTTTCTCTTTTTGATTCTGGAGATTGAACCAACGGATGTTTTTCCACTGAGCTATATCCCTAGCCCCTTTTATTTTGTCTTGCTAAGGGTCTTGCTAAGTTGCTTAGGGCCTTGCTAAATTGCTGAGGCTGGCCTCAAACTTGTGATCCTCTTGCCTCAGCCTCCCAATTCATTGGGATTACATGTGTATACATACCACTGTGCCTGGCTCTAAAGATGTCTTCAAAGGACCAAAACTCCTCTTCTCCCTGCATGCCTGATCTCGGTGGTCTCCAACAAAATAAACCACTTGCTCTGAATATTCTGTTTGGCTTTTTGTTAAACAGGGTATACAGGCCAAGAGGGGGACTGAAAGGGTGGGAAGGCAAGGGGAGAACAAAGGCGAGAGAAGGAACTATCCATTTGTCCACACTAGCACTGCTCTATTGACTCATGGCTCCAACCCACTAAATTATCCAAGTGGTTTGCCAGGGAAGGTTGCCTGCTGGGCTAATGGGGCAAGAAGCTCAAGTTGGACTAGATTTCTAAATGCTGCTGAGTGCCTTCCAGTGCTTAGCACCTGCAGACGCTTGGGTAAACATTCTCCCTCCAACAGCTGTTCTCCACGGGAGTTCGGGCAAGTGCCCATCAGCTAAGACAGGGAGCCACTGAGGGGCTCCAGACGGCCCACACAGACGTGTCAAAGTGTTCAGCACTTTGCAGAAAACAGACCGTCAAGGAATCGCTGCGGTGAGGGGATAAACAATTCTGAAAAAAATTCCTCAGTGAAATGTCTAGGAAAATGACCAAGGAGCTGTGCAAAGGCAGCCCTGAAAAGTGATCAGGTTTTCAGGTCCCCAAAGTAGGCCGCATATTTTGTCAACACCTGACCAGGGGTCTCAGATAAGGCATGGAGAGTCTCGGTCATTTCGGCTCTCCTCCCTGGGTTATACTTAAGGTCTGTCTCTATTCTTTTCATCGCAAAGGGGAGATGACCCTGACTGTGGCCCCAGATTATGGGTCCCAGCTGGCTCCCAGCACCCTTCCTTCTGTAGTTGGCTATGAGTGAACTATAGGGTAGAGGGACTGCTTTGAAAGCCATGGGGAGTTTTCCATGCTGGCTGCCAGGCTACTAAAGCATGCAGTGTAGGGAATTCTAAGTCTGTGAGAAGAGAGTTGCACCTCCTGGAAGGATAAGAGAGAGGTGGGGCGGCTGGTAGAAGTATAAATCTTCATCGCTAATCATCCTTGCTAGGTGAATTTTTTTTTTTTTTTTTTTTTTTTTTAGTTGTAGATGGCACAATACCTTTATCTTATTTATTTTTTTTAATGTGGTGCTGAGGCTCGAACCTAGTGCCTCACACGCGCTAGGCAAGTGCTCTACCACTGAGCCACAACCCCAGCCCCGGAAAACTTGGTTTTAAATTTTTGTAATTCCTAATTTTAACTTGCTTTATATGATTTTCTTAGAAATGTTGACTTCTGTGAAACAAAGATAGATAAGTGTCCAACAAGGAAACCATTTATTGATGTTAGGATTTGGATAAGAGGTGTCCTTCTCTTCTGTTAATGCAGGAATAATCACAGATGAAATGATTAGGTATGAGCAGTGTAACCTAATCAGTACATCCTTCTTTGAATGGACTGACCGAGTAGTAACTGTAGGCAGGTAGGGCGGGCCTGGAGGAGGTGGGTCACTAGACTCAGCCCTGGTAAAGATTCATTTTCCCTGCAAACTCTCTTCCTCACCACTCTGCTTCTTGGCCCCCAAGTGCAGAGCAGCTTCCCTCCACCATACCCTTCCACCATGGCCTTACCTTAGGCTCAAAGCAATGGAGTCCAGACCATGGACTGAACGTCTGAAACCACAAGCCAAAACAAACTTTTCCTCCTCTAAGTTGTTCTTGTCAGGTATTTTGCTCACAGTGATGCAACAGCTGACTAAAACAATGGCTCTTATGAATAAACTCTGACAAATGAATTCCTTCTAAAACATGACCTAGCCACCTTTTTCCCTGGGGGAGAAGTAGTGCCTTGCAGACCAAACCGAAGGACACAGGAGCAAAGCTTGTCTTTCCTCCTCCCGCCCCTCTGTCTCTTTCTGTGCTCCCTGTTCTCAGCTCCCTGTTCTGGGACTGTGCTTTGATTCAGGGCCAAGGTGAGAAGACACAAGGACTCCTTGCCACTAGGTCAGACTGAGAGGTTTTGACTAGAAATTTCCTCTAATAAAATGAAATCTTTAGAATATGCCAGAAGAAAAGAATGCCAAAAAACCTCTGTCTTTCTCTAGCTGCCCGGGTAGGAGGGAGACTGCCAATGTGAAGCCCAAGAACTGGGGAGCCTGGCCCTGGAAGGTGGCCACTGGTGGCTATGGGACTGGGTGCAGCTGTTTCACATTTAAAAGGGTCAGCTGCCCAGAGCTATGGTTTTGGGGAGCTGTAGGTAGATGAATTCATAACATCCTTTACAATTCTCAGTGCCTCCAGGGCCTCTAATCTCCAATGTTGCTACCTCTTTTTGATGGCTATGTATTTTCAGGGCTAAGTTAAAGGATATACAAAGAGCAGTATGTTAAGATGTTTCCAACTGGGGTGCTCTGAGTGCAAACCTTATTCCCAGTGGTCTTAATGGGGGAGACTGAGGTAGACTTGTGAGCACAAGTCACTAATGTCTGAGACGCCTTTCTCTTATCTCTGATGTGAGTCCTGCAGTACTATTGCATTCAGCATTTTGCAAAGCGCAAAGCAGATGTCAGTTGCAGAAGAATGTATGTGAGCCTGAAGCCAGTGACCTTGCAATCCACCACATGCCTGTGATGGAATCCATAGCTGCTCTGCTTGCAAGTTTCCCCACTGATGTCATTTTTTGGGGGAAGCCAACAATGAAAGGCAAAATATGCAGGAAGAGCCCCGAGAGGCAAAAGAGACTGAGTTTCCCAAGCAAACAGCAACGGTGAAGGGACTGTTTTCTACAAGGAAGGGGGCTCAAGGCATAAGAGCTACATATGTGAAGCAAATCTTTGCACTTTGTAGTGTTTCACTAGATTACTCAAAGTTAAATGCAGAGGAATAGTCATAAAGCAAAGGGAAAAAACCCCAAAAAAACAAAAAATAAAGGCCTTCCCTGGCTTTGGTAACAACAGCTGGTAAGACCTCCATTAATCACGGAATTGCTTGCTGGAAAGAAGCATCAGGCAGGTAGTGGCAATTACCTGGCAGGCAGCAGCTGAGACCTCTGTCTACACTCGGAGGAGGGCATGGAGGAAATGCCCCAGGAGCTGATGCCAAGGAAACCTGACGTTCCTTGCACCTGCGTACTTATCCTGGCAAAGCTGCACTTCATATGAAACGTATTAAGACCAGGTTTCACCATGTCCTAATGGAAGATGTTAATTTTGAAAGAAGAAAACAGCAAGTTCAAGCACAGAAATAAAACCTCACTTGAGGATTTCAGAGTCTGTATGCCTAGTCTCTCACCTAGAAATGCTATTGTTCTTTTTTTCACTTCTTGCAGTCAATGAAATTTGGGGATTTTAAAATGCAAATCCCCATTCGGTTCTACAAACTTGTATTGACCCTGGCCTCTCGGCTCCGCTGGCTCATTGTTAGTGTCCTCAGGAAGATCACCATTGCCATGACACTTGGAGTGTGGGTTGGTGGTTGAACTTACATAAAAGGTCCACTTTCATTATTTGGACTGTATATGCTACTGAGAAAAAGGGGTTTTCTCCCATTAAATGTTCCTCTGGGAAAAAACAAACAAAAAAATCAAATTAAAGAAGCTTCTAGGCATTTTGGAAACGAGATTAAGGCCTGAAAGACACACTGACATCTCCCCTGTCTAGTTCCAACGGTGACAACACCCTTCCAGGCTTCCAACCACTCCAAAAGTCAACAGAGAGAGAAAATAAAAAGCTGTACTAGAACATTCTGGTCTTATTCCTTCTGCAGGACCAGCCTACATACAATATAGTTACCTACCTGTGTGGTAAAATGTTCAGGAGGGAACAGCAAAAAGGAAAGAGGATAAAAAGACAGCTGTGTACCCTCTAAGGCAAAAAAGACTGAAGGGTCAACCATAAAAACAGGCCTCAGGTCAAATGTGACCTACTGTCTGTTTGTAAATAAAGTTTTATTGGAACAGTCATCAACCATTTGTTTCTATGGTCTATGGTGGTTTTGTACTCTAATGGCAGAATTGAGTCACTGGGATATAGACATGACCTACAAATCTCAAAATATTTACTATCTGGCCCTTTGCAGAAAAACGTTTCAACATCTGCTTTAGAAAATAGAATTTCCTTTAACTTAAGAAAGTTAGTGCTTGGGCAAGCAAATTCAGTTAATCTGTAACAAATGTCAGTAGACAATGGAAGGCATCTTGGAGCTCTGCAATTCTTTTATAGGGCAAAAAGCAAGTGGTCTTCGATTTTTCTGCAGTGTTTTTTTTTTTTGTTGTTGTTGTTGTTTTAATTATCCAACTACTAAATGCCATACTTTCCCTTGCTTATAAATGTTAGGCAGTTTACCACTCTGACTTACGAGCATGAGATCATGACAGCTAGGGGCTCCTCAGTTGGCTCTCGGGGTAGGAGTAAGTAGCAGTGGTCCCTTTCTGTTGTTAAGGACAGCTCAGCATTGCTGTGACCCCCACAATAGTAGGCAGAGGCTATCACTGTACCTGTTGGCAAGAAGCTGGGATCTGGTTCCTGAAGGCGAGGTCAGGTAGATGGCCAGGTCGCCCCTCCGGGGGTGAGTGATAGTGATGCGCACAACTACGTGCTCCAGGTAGTTGACGTGGTGGTTGGGGTTGTCAGAGCAGCCCAAGGCTTTGTAGATGGAGCGCACTGCACTGTTGGGGCGAATTGTCCTGCGAGAGAGAGAGAGAAAGAGGAAGAGAGAGAAAAGAGTGTTTGAGCAAACTATGCAGCAGCACTCAGCAGAGTGACCCTGGAAGGTTGGAATGAGTGTTAAATATGGTAAGGCAAGCAGCTGCCCACTGGTTATTAAAGGATCATAGTGCTAACACCCAAATGGGTGGCCACATATAGGGTTAGTGACTGTCTTCATACAGGAAGTGGGCATCCAACATAAGTGTGCATTGGAATCCCCTTGCTAAAACACAGATGGCTGGGCTGCAGTCCCAGAGAGGCTGATTGAGTAGGTCTGGGTGAGTCCCAAGAAGTTTCATCTCTAACTTAGAGTTCCTGGGAGACAGTGATGCTGCTGATCTATGGAATGCACTTTGAGAATAACTGCATTGCAGTAGAGAGGAGGCCGGGGAATGAGCAACGCCTTGCTTCATATTCCTGGTCTACAGACTCCTTGGCTATAACCCTGGGCGTGCTCTTTCCTCTCACAGGGTCCTCCCTTCCTCTCTAGTGTCCTCCTGTGCCACTGTTCCCTGAACACTGGGGTCCAGCTATACAGGCATCCATTTAACTTCTGGGATAATACAAGTTTCTCATCTTGAGGAATTTGCACACACTCCTTTGTCTGAAGTACTATTTATCACACGTCCAGTGGTTGCTCTTCTTCCTCCTTCAATGTCAAAGCTCAAGTTTCACCTCTCTGAGACCTTCATTGAACCACAGGCGAGATTTGTTCCCTATCTTCAATTTCCTATCTTTTATAATTTTCAGAATTAGCTTGTAATTTGTAATCATACTACTTATTACAGCATTCTAGCATTTTTGTTTGACTCCCTCTCTAGACTCTAAGCCTCATAACGGCAGGGAACATTTCTTATTCTCCTTTTCCTCCCTAGTATTTTAGCTCATTTTCCTCCCTAGTATTTAAGTGCAAGAGAAGTAGTTGCTTAGTTGATGAATATGTTTGTGAATGAATGAACAAATATTTTATTTTATCCCATTGTCTCATTTGTCAAATAGAAATTAGAAAGTTATTATTTTTTTCTTTTTTTCAAAATATCTTTATTTTATTCATTTATTTTTATGTGGCACTGAGGATTGAATACAGTGCTTCACACGTACCAGGCAAGTACTCTATCACCAAGCTACAACTCCAGCCCCCTTCTTTTCTTTTTTTCTTTTTTCGTTTGGAGACAGGGTCTCACAAAGCTGCCCAGGCTGGCCTCTATCTAGTGATCCTCCTGCCTCTGCCTCCTGAGTAGCTGGGATTATAGGTGTGCACCACCAGGCCTGATTTGTTAGGAAGTTTTAAGTAGAAAACATGCACAAAGTTTCTAGCTCTTGGCTTGGTACATAAGTGTTGAACACTGATTATTTTTTAACTCCTTTGTTTTTTCTTCCTCTCATTCTTTGCCCAAGAGAGTCCTTTTTTTTTCTGCTTCCTAAAAAAATTTCCTCAAGTTTTATAGTGACTCAAGTTTCATTATAAACCAAGTTTAGAAAAAATTTTTTTTTTCCAGAAAGAAAAGTCTCTGAGAAGATAGACAAGAACAAATTCTAAGCAGGCCACTGAGAGGAAACGCTCTTCCTTGGATTTACCCATGGGAGCCACTCCACACAATTGTTTGGTAAATGCTGTCCACATAGCTCTGAGTTTGCAGCTAACATTGGGGAATAGGCCCTACAGTTCCTAGTAAGTTGCAATCTCATTTGCTTTGCACCACTCTCTGGATAACTGTATGCATGTGCTTTAGTTTCCAGAACATTCAATAATTTTATTTTTTAAGTATCCCAACTTCTTGCACCATCAAATAGAGATACTGACAGGGTAGAAAGCTTTGGAAAGCCTACCAGGAAGGGGCTCTCCAAATCCCCTTTGAAAGGATGCTTTCCTTTTAAGGATCCTGGATTATGCTAATGAACATTGAACGGCTTAGAATCCAAGCCATTCTATCACAGTTTTATAATTTCATCAGAAACAAACTACAGAAGCTTTTAGCTCCCACATGTGACGGGAAGACATGCGCTAGCCTCTGTCCTTTGGGGGCATTGTCATGTGGTCAGCGGGAGGCACACATTACTTGATTTGCCGGTCTGTGCTCTCCACACACATGTGTTGCTGGGGAACAGTGGTCCACTTCTCTGCCTCCATCACCATGGCTTCCGCATCCATCAGTCCGAATCCATAGAGATGACTCACTGCAAAAGGCAAGAGGCTGGTCAGCTTTGCTGTGGTTAGCAGCAACCTATACTACACAGGCTGAGTTACCATGTCACTCAGCTGAGACCTCAGACACACAACAGTGGGCTCCTAGCTAACGTCCTAGCAAAGATTTGAAAAACAAAACAAATAAATAAGATGAAAGTGTATTATTCATCAACTATTAATAATATGACTATCCTTTATAAATTATTACTACATGCTGGGTACTTGTCCATATTCTTACGTTTGAGCCTCCCTACAATCTTAAGATGTTAGTGAGATTATTGTCATCATTCATGGAGGAGAAAACTTGAGGAATGGAGAGAAACCTGGCCAAGACTGACTAGCCTGTCCGTGGTCAAGCTGAATTCTAACCCACCTTGTTTCCTTCAGAGACCTGTTGTTAATCATTTGTATTTAAAAATGATGACATCATTGATTTTGTGAGGTAAAATAATTAATAGGTGTAAAGAAACCGATAGACAATTTCTCAGCAAGTAGAACTCAACATGCAAGAAATATCATTTTTTCTGACATATCTAGTAATTTGTTTAAATACCCCAGAAGACATAAATTATTATCTTTCTCCTAGCATATAAAAATTTATTAAACTATATGCATAGATACTTGGAGGCCTCTAGACCTTTGTGCTAGTTTCTTGTCTTTGAATCTGTTCTCAATTAGAATCCCTATTGATCTAAAGCTGAATTTGATGTAACTGGCTCAGAAATATAAATTAAGTAGAGGAATATTTAAATGATACAGTAAACTACACATGTATTTCTTTCTGAAAATACCTTAAAATCACAGCTGAATATTTAACATTTTCACTTTGTATTGAACTCTTCTATCTTTATATTCAACATGAAGACATATTTCTATCAGAGTTTGCTTAAAAGTTTTCATTATGACATTAACTGCTTTATGCAAAAAATTTTTATAGCTTCCCGTGCTTATAGATTATTTAAGTACATCAGCTTGAAATTCATGATGTCCTCTGACATAGTCCCATTCTCCTTTCAAAATAGTCTCCTCATCAAACCCTTTGTATTTATAAAGCTACTCTTACAGGTTCTAGTCAAAGTTGGATCTTTCTGCCGTACTGCTTTTGCTCAAGATGAGCCTTTGGCTTGAAATTCCTTCATTCCTACTTTCTGCAGAGTCAAAGTTCCTAAAGCTCTTGCTGATATGTCTTGTTCTTCCTGAAGAATTTTCTGAACAATAAGAAGTCAAAGCTTTTATTGAAATTCAACCATATGTGAATATTAACTTTTCTCCTTTGTATTCTATAAGTAATTAATTCATCAATCTATCTGTCTTTCTGTTATCCATCTGCCTGCCCATCCATCCATCCATCCATCCATCCATCCATCCATCCATCCATCCTCCCTCCAGTGCCTTCTGTGTACCACTCACTGTATTAGGCACTGCACTTTCTAATCTGTGCCACGGATGGACTTGTTAATTAACTGTCAGTACGTGTCCTTTTATTCTTACTACATTTTAAACTGCGTGATGGTAGGAACTGGCTCTTACATTTTCTTATAGGTTTCCTGGGAACTTTTGCAGAATTTAATGCACATGGGAGCACATATAAATTAGAGCACATAAAAAAAGAAAACTGTGCCAGGATTCAGAAATAGCTCTATTTATGTTATTTGATAATCACACAATTCTTAGCAAACAAAACACCTAATCCACAGTTTCCTTATTTTGCGATATTTTAGTCTGTCCTGTCACTATCACTAAGTTCATAAAGTACTGTTATATGTCTCATGTGAGCAAATCTTCTAAAAACTATGTAAATGCAAGGGCTCAATATTTTTGCCATCAGGTACTTAGACAGGCCATACTCAACAAAAAATAACAAGCCTGCTGTGCTGTGGCAAGGACACACATAGGACTTTTATAATGTAGTTTTACATCTTTTATTAACCATGATTTTAAAAAGCAATGCATATTCATTCTAAAAAAATCTTAAATATATCCAGAGAAGAATAAAGAAAATAGAAATTATTAATCAATAAACTCATCAAAAGATGGTAATGGCTATGAACAATTCTGTATATGTCATTATAGTTACTTAACATTATGTAAATTTTTAAAAAAGGGACAGAGGGACTGATGTGATACAGAAGAAACATGATACTAGAGGAATGTCAAGTTCAGGCTTGTGGGAAGAAAGGATAGAGGGAGGTGGAGAATGGATATCCAAACAGAGAGTTGACATTGACCTACTTTTCAAGTCATGAAGAATAGAAGATAGGAGTTCAAAGCCTCTCGACATATACAAATGTTACGGAAATAGAAATATTGGTTATCTTGATTTCATACATGTATGAAAATGTCATACTCATAAATATTTGCAAGTATTGCCTGTTAATTAACAAGTAAAAACACTTTTTAAAAAGAAAACTAAAAGTTTCAGTTTAAGGAAACACAACTGAGGAGATCTTTTGTTAAAGCTCAAGTAACTCAGATATTCTCAGTCATCACACAGCCATAGCCTACATCATCTCATCATGCACATTACAATTATTTTCTTTCCTTGGGGATATTAAACATTTTAATAAAGATATTATGCTGGGCTTTCCACCTCTATTCAGTATTCAAATATCCCCCATGCTAATGTCAAGTGGTTTTAAAGCAGCATAGCTCATCATCTTACCTCAGTTTAGGAGAATAAGATTAAAGATCTGATTGGGGGGTTTGGAGAAGGGGGTAAGGGAGGTCAAAGGCTCTGGGCAGTCAACGCAATCCTGGGGCAGCCCCCACTGAGCACCTGAGCCCCACCTCAGCTCTGCTGGCTCCTCCTGCTCTTCCCCTCCCTAATAACTATCCACCCAACAACCATGATGACATAAATTAGCAAAAAGAGTCATCAAATACCACCAGCACTTCATGCCTGTTAAGCAACCACTTGAATCAAGTAGGAAAGCACCTTGAGTCTTTATGAGGGCCATAAATTTGTTTCCTTTTCCCATCCAATTTCTACCTTCCAGGGACAAAGCCTATTCATGAAACACTCAAAATAGATGTTTAGAAAAGAGGCTGCTACAGTTAAACTACAGATTGTCAGGTCAACAGGAAAAACGTTATACTGATATGATATTAATAAATGAGGAAATTGGACTAGATCGGTGAAGGTCAACTGGGTCGGTAACAGAAATTTTCTGTTATTTTGATGTACTCAAAATTGTGTGTCTGTCCATAATCAAGATACATAGTGCAAGAAAAACATCTTTGCCTTTTCAGCTGACAATACATCAAATATATGAATTCAAATTAGAAGTTATTTATTTTGTTGGAAAATACTAATGAGAAAATAATTATATAATGAATGTTGTTGGGCAGATAAGCTCATTCAAAATGTGATATCAATACCCCTATATATTAGTAACCATTAAACAGCTTGGAAGCACTAATCATTTTTTATATAGTATAAAATATCCACCCACTAAAATGACCTATTAAAGACAGAAATTCTGATTTAATTTTTTTCCATTTGAGTCAAGTCTGTCTTGCCTGTCCCATGGACACCATGAAGAGTCACAGGGCTCAAGGTATGATTTCTTTCCAGTGGGTGCAGAGCTTGGCTTAGGGGACTGCTTCCATAAATATTTGTGAAATGAGTGAAATGAAACTGAGAGAAGAAACTTTAATTAATTGACAAAGTAGCACAAAGTGTGCACTAAAGAATTGTAAAGGAAAGTAGGAGGTCTGTTCTTTTTTTTACCAACTTCTGTAAAATCATCAATAACAGTTGAAATTTATTCAAGTAGAGAGCCAATATTCATATTTCATAAATATATAATGATGGAAAATATACTATAAACAAGTAGTTGAGATATGGCCATAAAAAAGAATCTTATTTATGCACATTTCTTATGCCATGTTCAGAGCAAAACCTGAGCCTTGAAATAATTTTATGATGATTAAGCAGAATCCACTCTACGCAAGCACTAGGCAAATGCAAAATTCTATGAAATTCGAGTGCTATTAACGTTGACAGGAACAGGGATCCTGACTGGTTCTAGCAGAATCTTCTACTCCTGTGAGTGGGGGCAGCAAACATTATTTCTGATTTAGCATTAGGCAAGACTAAAAAAATCAAATATTGGAAAGTTACTGAGAGAACGAGGAATATGCATAAGATTTCGTAGCAAAATTATTTATGCCTTTTTTAGAAAGTGAATTTATTCATTGTTGAATGATATAGCTCTGCTTCAATAAAGGGAACTTGAGAAATTGCATCTCATTATATATTTTTCTTTAGGGTTACAAGGCTGTGTATTTCATGATACATATAAGACAGCAATTGAGACCCCATAAATAGGCTCCTTTCTGCAGATAAGTTCAGGAAAATGGTTTTGTCTTATGGCAAAGAAGATAGTTTTTATTCACAGTTATCCAAAGGCTTCCTTGCTTGAAGTCAGATGAACAAAAGAACTCAGGAAAATAGGTAATATTCTCTGGCAAGTAGCTTTTCTTTTTCTGATAAGACCAGAAGTGCTGAGAGAAGCTGGTCATTAGGTACACAAGTAAGTAACTGCATAGTTTGAAAGCAGATATAGTCAACTCAAGAAATAACTTTAGCTAGGGGGCCTTAAAACTCACTTCTAAAGAAAAGCTAGGAAGCTCCATAGAAAAAAAAATAGAAGTTTCTGAGCAACAGAAACTATAACCAGGGAAATCTGGTACACTTTTATCTCTTCTAGTGGATTGTCCTTATTGGAGCCAGCTACTTGAAATGCTGCTGCTGCTAAATATTACACGGAATGGATGTATTATGGTGAATTTGACTATTAGTAAAGCACTTATATATAGTTTTAAAAAGTTGATTGGCTCAAGTAAAAGTTTTTCTTTTGGTAAGTTTTTGAGCTTTCTGAAGTGAAGTGTTTTTTTTTTTTTTTTTTTTCCTGCTGCTCCACTGTGTCAAACTCAGGCACAACATTATACAGCGTGAAAAAAGGGCAAATACCCAACAACAGAAGCT